TGACTTCTACGGTCCGACTTGGTGCGTTCCTCTAAGTCTTCCTACCAACATGACCAAGTTGCGAAAACAAGGTCAAACAATGTCTAAAATTCTGCTTGTTGCGTGGCTTTAGACGGGACGCAGTCTACAATTTTCTTTCAAACAAAGCCCGTTATTCACATTCTGTATGATGCTAATTTCTCATGTGAATCTTCACTGTGGCTTTCACCTGAAGAATGTTTGTCTGCTTTGCCTTCCTGCCCACTCACAGGCTCTGCCTCCCCCGGCGCCAACGCCGATGTCAATTCGCGGGCGCCAATCCACAACTTCACAGTGACCTCGCAGCGTCTCTACTCCACCGAGGCACTCCCGCGGTCAGGAGCTCCCTATCGGACCGGTCCAGTGTCCGCCGACTCCTGCCTGCCTCCCAGCGGCTTCCTGGCCTCTGCGTCGAAGGGGCGCGTCAGCTTCTCCAAGCCGTCGGCTGGACAGAACCAGTTGCCCGCCATTTCAGAGGTGGGATATGTGGGGTACGCTTGACGTGGGAACGCCTCAACTATGCGTGTCACAGTGTGATGCGATAAAGCGACGGAGGAAGGCACCATTTCGTCTGGCTCCACTAATCAACAGTTGCACGCACAAGCCGTTTGTTGAATGGAAAATGTCGACAGAACGTGACATCCTCGGTCCTGTTTGCCTGCCAAGTCGCCATTTGTTATTGTGGGCAGATTGAATTAAATCAAAAGTGTAGGCTTTCGGGAAAATTCGGCTTCCTGAAGAGCAGTTTTGCGAGCACTGTTGCAACCGACATGAAAGTACTGGATTGTTGTTAGAATTAAGACAATCAGAAAAGCCACTCCTCGTACACCCTTTGCCTTTCGGGCATCTGCTATCTGTCGTCACTTGTAAAGAGGATGAACAAAGAAACTGTCGGATTTGATATTGGCACTTGTCATCTCATTTTACTGGAATACTTCAAAGCAGACTGTATATTCTACGTATCTTAGGCTGGATTTTAGGTGGCGCATGCACTTCTTTATGGGCTTTCGTGACATTTTCCAATCCTCCGCATTCTGTCATTATTCGTCTTTATATTTCATTCGAATTTTGACGAATATTTCCGCAGTCTTGTCACATTTTATATTTGTGGTTTGCAACCCACAAACAGGGCACTGTCGCAAAGTAACTACTTATTGTGCTAGATCACCAACTTATTTTTTCGCCCCTTTCGTGGTAGCAGTCCCAATTGTTCTCCAGATTTTCTGTAGAAATAGTTCGGCATTTGTCCTTTTTCCTTTTATTATTTGATATGGGTCCATTTACAGGGTATTTCTGAGAGAGAAAAAATGATATCAAACAATTTCATTTTTATGTTCGGTTCTCTGTTTCACATCTTTTGATACATTGTGGTGCATGAATTTCGACATACGAATGCCCAAAATCACTCTGTATTACACTTTCGGGGGTTGGCGCAAGTTCAACTACCTTGGAACATAGAAATAAAGTAAAACGATGATAAGACGAAAAATCTATGCGGTTTCGCCTCAGGACTCTATTTCTTTTGCCTTCTTGACTGTTCGTGCGGTGATACCTTTTCTATTGTTAATGAAACTTGCATCTATTCAATGATCCTACGATAGCAGGACGTATGGCAGCGATGACATTTGGCTGCATATTTCAGATCCTACTTGTTAATATGACCATTGCACGAACAAACTACAAAAAAACCGCCTTAGGAAGCCCAGGTGTGAGGCATGAGTGAAGTAGGCATAAAAATAAAATTGTTACCATTTCCACTGCGCTTTTTAAAATGAGTGTGGTACGTGAGTTTACAACAAAAAAGTGACGTCAAGTTATTTACTATCCCCCCCTCATCTCTCTACCATAACTATAAAATTAATTTAATTATTTTGTATAATTTAAAATTTATTTAGTATTTTATTACTCATTCATTGCATTAATGTGAATAGCTTTTTATTCAAATCATCCTATCCTGCACGAACACATCCTTTATATGACATGTGCTCAGTCTATTTTGTTTCAGGTAATGAAGGACTGGTAGTTGAATTTTTCCACAATCATGTGAGTACACCTTACATTGGAAGACGATGGCAGATTCCTGTCAGCCATCTATTTGCTGGCTTTAATTTAATGGTTTGCACTATCCCCAGGCAATCTTCTTCGATTCCGATACGAACATACCAAGCTTTATTAATCATATCATATATATATATATATATATATATATATATATATATATATATATATATATATATATATATATATAT